TACAAAATATTTTGCTTTTATACGCAAAGTTTGAAAAAGTTTTTTATTTACAATAAGTCTATGTTTTTAATCCTTTGATAGACACGAGAGAGAGAGAGAGAGAGAGAGAGAGAGTTGGTGTGGGAGAAAAATTAAAAATTAATACATTAAAACTTAAAACTTTATAAAACTATTAATAAATATATGGTATTAATGAATGCATATAAAGGGCGACTGATTGGCGACTATAACGGCATGTAATGATAAGATAGCGATTCTTTGCATATAATGCTATGCAATGACAACATAAAATATTTGCACACATTTACTACAACACAGCACTCACTGTACTTATCAATGAATCCCTTTATATTTGTAATACATTTGCTTTGAATTTAATCTCAAATTTGAAGGAATGATATAATTATTAGTATTTGATTTGATATCAGAATAAGTGCCTAAAATGCTATCAGAATCGGTAGTAATGGAGACACAAGTCTTATCGCATGCGAGCATATGATCGATATGTTCCCAGAATTGTTACCCCGATTATTGTGAAACATCTAAACAACATTCATTACAAATACAATGATTTGCATTAACCGTATGAATGATGCCAATGGTCTCATAATTGATGTCAATTAAGCTCCCAATACCTGTACTTATATTCAAATGTCATTAATATGTTGTCAATTGTTATAAAACTTTTTGAATACCCCTTAGAATCTGTAATCAGTATTAATAAAAGTTTGGACAACTTCTTCAAAAAGTTGTCGTTTCTATGAAACTATTGTTAAATACGTTTACGAAATGTAAGACAATTATGAATAGAGGGGTTAATCATAATATTGAATGCAATACATAATTGCATGTCATTAATGCAATTGTCACACATATTGTGCGTTACATTTAAATATCGCTAATAGACTGTATTTTTGCTTCATTTTAAGCACAATATGAATACTTACAAAAACTGGTATATTTTTAAATGCAAACAATGGTAATAAATAACGTAATGTCCCGCTTATGAGTGCTCGTGATATTTGAATGTCAATTCACAGATAGGGGGCTATAAAGCGAGCGAATAATTTACGTTTCATATGATCTCTATGTTTGCCTTATATTACACTAAACCTACTGTCGAGTGAACGTAAGTAATGAGTTGTTAAACGTAGAGAGTGTACGACTGGAGCCACTGTTGTTGCGTGTGTTTGACTGTAGAGTTGGTGTGGGTTTGGCTTTACGTACGTAAACGAGTGAATGATTGTACAAATGTAGAGGTAGTGGCAGACAGTGTAGGGGTAGTGATAGTAGTGAGTGAATTGTGCTCACAATGAGTGGTACAGTAGTGGCTCGGAGTGCGCAGAAGTGATGCGTCAGTACAGTGTGGCCAACAAATAGTGCAAACAAGAGAAGTGTGTATTCGCTGTACACCGCCAATGATATGAATCTAAGCACTGTGGAAGCTACAAGCAAAATACTGTAAGGTTTTACACTCGTAAAAATAAAAGTATATTAAAATTAGTTATTAAATCACATTTATTTTGTATGTTTTAGAAAAGTATAATTGACTTTTGGTCATTTTAAAAAGTGACTAAACAATATAATTTTTTTAATGAAAAATGCACTATTAATACTGGGATTTCCAATTACTCAATACTAACACTTGCTTAACTACATAAAAATATGACGGTACACTGTATTCACTGTATTGTGTGAATGGATTGAATGGTTTGTATGTTGTGCTCAATGTTTAGCAGAAGTGATATAAGCAGTGATTCAGTGATTGTGTTGTACTTTATTATAAGTGGTGTTCACTATATGTATGGCATTTGAATGCTTTGAATGCTTGGCAGTGGACGACAAATGTCACACAATGTATACCCAAACTGTTCACATGTGACCACAACCACAACCATTACGGCTACCACAACCCCCACCACAACCTCAACACACCTCCCATCGAGTGGTGCCGAAGATATGGTTCCACTCATGTCTAACAATACGCCCAACGCTGAAGACTGCGTGAATATAGTGTCGACCGACACGTGTGTGCCATCAACTGATGACTGCCATCCGCTGATGCTTGACATCCATGTGATCGGCGATCGCATCGCTCATAAGACAGACAGTGAGGAGAAGCGACTCAACAACAAGAATCACCACAAGTTTGTCATCTCGAAACTGATCCAAAACAACCACAACAACATCAGTAGTGATACCAAACTTTGTGATACCATTTGTGACACAATTAATGCTCAAAACATTACCAATAGTTGTATTAATGATTGTAAAGACAATACATTGATAAGCAATGAATTGATAACCGATTGTCTGAACAACGGATCCAATGAAGCGAATAAAGAGTCGGAATCGGAAGAGACGACTGCCGACGAGGGGGAGACGGCTCGGGACTCGTCACCGGACGGACGGTTCCTCAAGTTTGAAGAGATCGGTCGCGGATCGTTCAAAACGGTGTATAAGGGACTGGACTCTCGGGATGGGGTGGCAGTCGCGTGGTGTGAACTCCAGGAGCGACTCAATCGCAATGAGAGGCAGCGGTTCCGCGAGGAGGTAGAGATGTTGAAAGGCCTGCAGTACTCAAACATTGTCCGCTTCTATGACTACTGGGAAGTAAACACCGCTAAACGCAAATACCTGGTCCTCATCACCGAACTCATGACCTCCGGAACCCTTAAGACATATTTGAAACGGTTTAAGAAAATCAACTCAAAAGTGCTGAAGAGTTGGTGCCGACAGATACTGAAAGGTTTGAATTTCTTGCACTCGCGAACGCCGCCCATCATTCACCGCGACCTCAAGTGCGACAATATCTTCATTACGGGTACCACCGGTTCCGTGAAGATCGGCGACTTAGGTCTGGCCACTCTGAAGAACAGGTCGTTCGCTAAGTCGGTGATCGGGACGCCAGAGTTTATGGCGCCCGAGATGTATGACGAGCACTACGACGAGATGGTAGACGTCTACGCCTTCGGGATGTGTCTCTTAGAGATGGCCACCGGAGAGTACCCGTACTCCGAATGTGTCGGTCCCGCGCAGATCTATAAGAAGGTCTCTTCCGGGACACCACCGCTCAGTATCACTAAAGTAGACAATCCGGAGGTGAAGAACATAATTGAAATGTGTATACAAGTGAAGAAGGAGGACAGGCCTACTGTCAAAGACCTTCTCAAACATGACTTTTTCGAAGAGGACACCGGCTTTAAGATCGAGTTCTGCGATCGGGAACAAAGTGTGGCCAACTGTGACACCAAAGTAGAGCTCAGACTACGAGTGACGGACCCGAAGAAGAGGAAACACAAGGAGAACGAAGCGCTTCAGTTCTACTTCGATATCGACAACGACACCGTCGACGACGTGGCCAAGGCTTTGGTGAGTTTGTGTGGCCTTTGCCTTCCCCTCACCCCCTCTCTCAATGGCTAAGCGGCACTCAATTAGTGTAAACTCGGGGATCGTTAGTCTAGTTTGGCGTTGAATAGAGTACACACTTCCCAATCGATTCACTTATTCTCTCGTTTACTCTAATTATAGCTCTTATCTAATGATTAAAAAGTCATTTATTGGTTCACTTGTATATAACATGACATGAAATAGTTATTGCCATTAAAACCACATCTCACATAATACAGTACATTATATGTACAATATATGGGTTATCGCACATTAATTCCCGCTTATAATGAACTGTTTGGCCACTATCACCACAAGCGTTCACTATAACAGATATAAGTACACTCTACATGCTTTAAGGCCAACAGGTATTGAAAATAATAATACCAAAACGTGAACCTGAATTCAAAACTCATTATAATATTTGATTTTTTATATAATAATAATTTATGATTATTGTTGTCCACAAAACCAGAACTTGTATTGAATGATCACTTCGTTATAATCAGTCTCTTCTTTAACCGTATTATTAAATAATTAATGTTTTCTAAACATAATTAATAAGTCGTAAACATTAGTAAAAACAAGAACTAAAGGAATAAATTGAATGGTTTTGTCATTTTTAGCAAACTTTTATCCAATCAATTGTTGTGACATTGTTTTTATCACTCATTCAATACTTTATTTTTCAATGTTCTCGATATTCACTATAAGTTATTTACAGTAAAAGTGTACAAATCTATCATCTCATCATCAATTGGTTCACTATAAGGGGGTTAATGTGTGTATAATTAATTGGCAAATAGTCAGAAAGCATTTTTAAGTATATTTCTATTACTATTACTGTAAATAAAATAGATTTTAAGGTCAGTTTCAGTGAAACTATGTCTCCTCCGATCGTTTGAGACATTTTTCTCTTTCTGTATATCATTCTCTCTCTCTCTCTCTCTCTCTCTCTCTCTCGTTGTATGACTTCATGTCTTTTACTGGTTTGAGATATTGAACCCAAACCTCAAGATATATCCGATATTTGAAATAAAACAAAGTTTTTGACGAATGCTTTTGCAGGAAAAATAGATTTAATTCTTGGAAATGTCTCTCTCTCTCTCTCTCTCTCTCGACATCCATCCATCGCATTAGATGACTCTTTAAAGAGCACAACATCTCTTTAAAAATGAGTTTTCCTTTAATAACAATAAAAATAATACAAGACATGCATTTGTAAAGTCCGTTATATACAGTTCTTTATCATATCATAACATAATTAGGATTTATTAGTTAAGTGTTGGGATTTGTATACACTTTGAATACGGATCACAATTGATGCCAACATTCATTACATATCTACGAATGATAGCGTCGAGTGTGTTCTCCCAGTGCTCTTGAAATGCTTGTCTTTCAATACACAATCAGCCCATCGCTCTTCGCTTTATATAAGGTCTTTGGTTTAATTTGCTGTCATTTTTATCATTATATTAAATGCGTTTAAATATTAAACTACTTTTACGTTATATTAGTTAATTGTTTCTCTCTTCCTTCTCTGGACATTACATTTAATTAATCGATAATAACTATAACTTTAATGCATTCAAATTTAATTGTTATTAAATGACTTAATCAATAAATAATATAGTTTTATATGCATATCGTTAGGAGTCGTAGATTTTATAAAGCCTTGAAAATCATATATTAATTTACATTTTTCTGACACATTCGTCAAAAACTTTGTTTTATTTCAAATATCGGATATATCTTGAGGTTTGGGTTCAATATCTCAAACCAGTAAAAGACATGAAGTCATACAACGAGAGAGAGAGAGAGAGCAACTGTGTTTACCATAGAGAGAGAACTAGTGATTAATTTGACGTTTATTTATGAGTTCAATGGCTCTAATCTTTTTTTTTTTTTGTTAACCGCCTCTCCTGTCATCCCATTCCTCGATGTTTAGGTGGAAACAGGCTTTTTGAACAGTGAGGAAGACGTGAGGATTGTGGCCCTTTTGATACGCAACCAGATATCACTGTTACTGAAGGAGAGGGAACAGTATCTCCTCCAACAACAACAACTCGAACAAAACCAGCAAAACGTGGCCACAGACTCACCACAGTTCGAGTTAATCCAGAAGTTGCAGCAACAATACAAACACGCCGAGAGGATCACCAACTCCAGGGTCGATGACGTCTTCTCCAGCATTATTGAGAGGTCTGTCGGCTTTTTGCACTTTTTTGTTGCTTTTTTCATACAAAATATTTTGCTTTTATACGCAAAGTTTGAAAAAGTTTTTTATTTACAATAAGTCTATGTTTTTAATCCTTTGATAGACACGAGAGAGAGAAGCGAGAGTTAGAAGAGAGACATTTCCAAGAATTAAATCTATTTTTCCTGCAAAAGCATCACTTAAGTAACGAAAACATTTCAAACGATGACAAAACAAATAGCAGTTCCCAATCGGAGACGTCGACGACGTTAAGCGTAGCACAGGAAGCGCATCGACCCCCTTCCCCGTCGTCGCCCGGTTCGCCCAATACTGACACTCAAACCAATACCAGTTCCGTTGTTTGTAATAATAGTATGAATCAATTGAACGACGAATTGATGCAGAAATTGGCTCAAAATCTAAACCCAAAGGCCATTAACACGAGTAACAGTGCGTGCATTAGTCCCGTTCCCACTGAACACCATCTCAACATCGCTGACGACCATCTCATTAGAGAGCATCACAACAAACTCAACACTACGTGTGCCGCCTCTTACAGCACCAACAGTGGCACTCAGCCATCGAGTACGGACTCGTCCGGAACCGGTTGCCACAGCAGTCGCCCGTCTCCGCCCAGAAGTGGCGGCACTTGTGGCCCGCAATTGAGGCGCTCGTCCAGTGATACGTTTGTCGACAGTGTGTTGGCTCCGAAATACTGGTGCCATAACACGACCGCTGCCACGAATACAGTCTCAGTCTCGCCATCGTTGGGCATCATATATAGATCACCGCCGATGGTCTCGTCGATGCCGTCGGCGATCAATAGTCACTCATTGGCGCCGACGTCTCCGTTGACAGTGAATAACTGTGTCGAACACAATACGTGCGATTCGGGTGCTTATTATACTAACAGTAGTTCCAACGGTTCCGATATATCGAATGCAATTAATTTAGCCAACAGTTCCACTCAGACAACCAAAACAAGTGAAACACAACAACCCATTGACGGCATTCCTAATTAAAGATATGCTTTTTTAAGTAATACAGTATTTTAGTACAACATTTTTAGAGCCTTTTAATAAACCATTTGTAATTAATTTATTATTATAATTGTTCATAATTTTAATGCTCTCTTTCTGGTCATTACTAGTTGTCATTTGCTATAGAAATCAATTTATTATTAATATTATTATTAAGTTACTATCCATGAAACAAACTTAATGTAAATTACAATACATTTTCCTTAAATTACAAAACACTCTCACATCTAATCCAGTGTTTAAAAGGGAAAGCAATGCAAACACGTGTGTTGTTATAATTGTATTAAAAACGCTTTTAATAGTTTACAAACAGAAACATAAAACTTGAAAAGCAATTGTTTTGAATGACATTAAACACAACATTTTGCCCGCATTTGTAATTCTGTACATAAATATATATAATATATATTACAATAATTTGTAATTAAGTTATCATTTGTTTAAACTGTGATTCGATGTAATGCTGTCGTCGGGTGAGAGAGAGTAGGCACTGGTGGCCGACGCCGTGAACTGAGTGCTCTCATAGAGCGTCCCATTTCGCTGATACACAAACTCATTGTCAGTCTTAAGTGATGAACACGACAACTGGTGCGGTATCTGACTGTCCGGACCAGCACTACAGCCCGTCTCGTCGGCCGACGATTCCTCGATGTTGTCGTCCATCTGTGGCTTATATGAGAACATTATCACCGATTGTGTGGCGGAGAAGAATTGGGCCAAAAATGTCCAGTAGACCAGTGGCGTGAAGAGAGTGAAGTACACATATGTGGTCACGTCCACAACGCACAGGCCCTCCATATGGCCCCTGAAGAACAACGCACTGCCCATCGCTTGGATCAGATTCAACACTGATAGCAGACACGCGTACACATAAAACGACTGTTTGGCTAAAACGAGACAACAAACACACATTCAATACATTACAACCAATTAGTCATTTATTTTATTATCAAAACATCAGACGTATGGAGTGGTCGGTCGGGCACACCATTAGATGACCGGCCCTTATATTACACACCAAATGCTTTTCTAAACATCACTTTATTTTTCCAATTTTTAATATCAAAAATATTTTATGCAAAAAATATGCGATTAATTTTATGCACATTTTCTTGTGTTTTATACCAATATTTACTAAATTTATAACTTTTAAAACACAAAGACTTGAAACTTGTAATAAAGGGTTTTCTAAATGACCAGTTTGTATGCTCTGAGGACAGCCCTCCATATGTCTGATTCAAAACAAACATCAATTGACAAATAATTTGATTTTTTGTAATGATTTTATGCAATATATAAATAACTAAAATGCGAAATGAGTTTATTATACATATAAATCAATTAATTTAAATAAATTTTAAAACGGTTTTGAATAATAAGCAAAATGTGTAATCATTTACTTGGAAGTGGTATTCGTTGTCTGCATGGAGTCCACGGCAGGAGGAATACTGTGAGATATATGAGTGCAAAGAGTAGACACGTGCAGAACCAGAAGATCATCCCTCCGTGACTGAACAGATAGTAATCTCTTTCCTTGATATAGAAGGACTCGTCCGGCGCCACAATCTCCAGACATCCCTGACATATACTATAGGCCAGAGACACGAACGACGTGACCAACAATACCCGTCGGATCGACGTCTGAGAATCCAAATGACCGAAAGCTAAGCCAAACACCAGAACTGATGTCTCGGTCGACAACAGGAAGAACCTAACGATAACCCAAAATACCTAAAACACAGAATCGAGTGATCAATGATCGGCTGTGACAGCGATGACTCAAATGGCAGACCTTATCAGTGATATCACCGGCAGGAGAGGTAACGTTGACTAACATAGAGATAACGCATCGCAACAAACTTGTGGTGACATTAATGCAGACCAAGAGGTAAAATGTGGCGAAGATGGGGGAAGTGGTTTGGCGCAGCTTCTGCTTCGTCGCCTTCAACCCCAACAACAGGAACGCCAGAAACAACACGTTTGGCACAAATATGATTGCGTCCCAAATCCGAAGCCTATTGACAGTCAAAACACAACAAATCAATCACAAAACCAATCATTAATCGCTTCTCGATATCAATATTAAGCGCTATTTTCTATACAGTTATAAGTATTTGGAGTTTGAGTCTCGACTCTGACATCAATTTCTCGTTGCATTCATTCAATGAGATCTCAATCCATATCCTGTTTGCCGACTAAACAATAACTCTTCGCTTATTTGGCATCAAATCTATCGTTAAACCAATTCATAAATCATTTAATCTATATTTTGTTCATTCAATTCTCAATACATCACTATTGAAATCATGTGTTAAATAACATATGTCTGCAATAATGGCTAATTAGCATTATATTCAACGCTAACAACACTTAATACTGTATCCATACTCATGAGTGGGAGGGATGAGAGAGAGAGAGAGAGAGAGAGAGAGAGAGAGAGAGAGAGAGAGAGAGAGANGAGAGAGAGAGAGAGAGAGAGAGAGAGAGAGAGAGAGAGAGAGAGAGAGAGAGCTGTCGGGACAGACCTGGAGTGTGGGATCTCTTCATATAAAATCCATTGACAGAAATGATTAGATGTGGTGTTTGTAGTGTTTGTGTAATCAATACTTTGATCCAATAATACATTCATTTTGCGATATAATGGCTAACATATGATAATCACAATCCAAATGGGCTTTAATTGACACTATATTTACAAAACAATGTCTCAAAAAACATTTGTCAGTGTTTTTGAAAAACACAAAACATTTGCATTTCAAACATGTGTTTATAAATGGATTGATATCTAAATAGATTGACGCAAATTGTGGTCATTTAGACAATACATTCATTTCAATCACATATTAAAACATGCATTCATTTCAACCATATTTTGACCACAAATCCAATATTTGATTCACGATTTGATTGTTTGTTGTTTTCATTTCACGTCAAATGTCATCATAACATAGGTTTCGACGATTACTTCAATCCACGTATTGTTGCCCAATATGTGCCAAATATAACACTTTATAAACATGTTTAATATGTAAATAATAGCATTCTATGTGTTATTCGTTAGAATACATACATATCCTAACCGGTAAAATGATGATCATATAAATCCCATTCATATAATTGCATTTTATTGAATTTAATTAAAAGTTTTAATTAAAATTACAATTTTCCCGACAATTGCATTATTCCCACAATTCGTCGTTATTTATGCCTAAAATGGGATGATTTTGAAAGCCTTTAAACGCCTATTAATTGAATCATTCATTCATTTCTTACACTAATCCCTAAAAAACATATGATTTTAGTAACGATTATAAAGTGTTGTTATTGTTGTTGTGATTAAGATTAGGATTAGCAGCAAATTGGGTGTCAAAAAGCAAACCATTATCAGTGCCCTCGAGAGTGAAGAGTTGGACATTGGCTTCCATCAGACCATCGGTGGTAATGAATGGCATAGAAAGCGAACCATTAATTTCTGTCAACACTTGTTTGTCTGACAACAGACCACTCTTTGGCGATCGCACCACAAATAGGGTATACCTTTGGATCCATTGGATCACTTGATTCATGTCTGCAATTACTAATTGTATGCATTTGTTTGGCTGACTGTCAACCCATAGGATCGCATCATAAGTCTATCGTTGGTCTCTGTGTGCGGACTCTTACTATTGGTTGCGATCATAACATTGATTACCATTAAATTCAGTGCAATTAATTTGATCACAATTTTGGTGATCATATCGTTTCTCGCTTCGCACGCACTCCTTATCCAATGGTATCGATTGGGTATGTCTTCAGTCATTACTTCCCATTTATTGTTTTTCAATTATTGTATGAGTTTATAAAAACTATAAACAACTAATTTGTGTCGCGTTTTGTTGATTATATGTATTGTTTAGATATTTAAATTTGATTAAAACGCTAACTATTTGTTTGATTTATAATTTGACTGTAATTTTCAGGTGATTTGGACCCAAAGTTTCGGTACCTATTGCTCTGGAATTCGGTGAACATATGTGTGCTCTGTATTGTAGCCATCGTTTACTATCACTACAACTAATCCATTAAATATAAACTCATTTTATCAGCTAATATGAGGTTAATTTGCAAACTATATTCAAACACTAATTAACGATTGATTTGTTGATTGTTTTCTAGAAATAACATAACATCGAAACACAGTCTTCATTGTCATAATATAAAATGTGATAAACCATTCATTCCCATCATTTTCAGCAATGATTATGACATATATTTCTTCAAAATTGAATCCATTCATCCGTTTGATACGAAAAAATGGGGTAAAATTGCCGCTAATTTGAGGCTATATTTCTCTCAACGAGTAAGACATTCACAGTTTTTGTACAATTGTTTTGTACATTAAATCAAATTTTGATGTCAATTTTTCTAATCCCAAACAGAAATTGGCATTCAATTCAAATAACGATTTCTTTATCCCTCCGTCTCATTGCATAACCAAAGATGAATTATCTTTGGTTCACAGCCAAGAATTTATTCGTCGAATGCATAGTTCATCACTAGCGGTGGCCAAAGCGGCCGAAGTGTGTCCTCTATTACTGTTGCCGATGTGTGTAATTGAGAGGAAACTCTTGCAACCGATTAAATGGCAAACTTCTGGATCTATTTTGGGCGGATTTCTGGCACTTAAGTACGGGTGGGCTATAAATCTTGGCGGAGGTTTCCATCACTGCTCGGCAAACATAGCTCAGGGCTTCTGTCTATTCGCTGACATAACGCTCACAATTCGCTATTTATGGCGAGAAGTTAGCGATAAAATCACTGTTTTAATAGTTGATTGTGACGCTCATGAGGGCAATGGTTATGCCACGGATGTGCTCGACATGACTCAGTCCGAACAGTTAGTTTCATTTGTATAATTATTGTGTTTTCTAAACCATTAATAACATTATTTTTTCCATTTAGGAAAAGGGTTTATATTTTAGATTTATTTAATCCAAATATATATCCGGGAGATATGAAGGCACAGACAGCCATCGATCGTCCCATTCATTTGCCCCATAGAGTTAAAGATGAAGAGTATTTATCATTACTTGAATTGTAAATATTGTCTATTAGTGTTGTAATTATGATTTCATGTGAAATAAAATGTTACTTTCAGTCACATAAACGCCACACTCACTGCAGACCATTTTAAACCAGATTTGATTATCTATAACGCGGGCACTGATATACTAAATGGTGATCCATTGGGTAGACTTCGAATATCTCCGAATGTGAGACCATTTCTTAACAAACAATTTATTATTTATAACTCATAAATACTTTTTGAAGGGAATCGCAAAACGCGATGAAATAGTCTTTCGTTACGCCAAAGAACATGACTTTTCAATATTAATGTTATTAAGGTTTTAATCAATTGATTTAAACGAGGTTTTTATGGATATATTTTCTTCTTTCAGCGGTGGATACCAGAGGAATAACGCCGAAGTAATCGCTAATTCAATACGTAATCTGTTTGATAAACACATTATTGATCCGATCGATGATCGCCACTGAAATGGCACTCAAAGAGTGGTTAATATTTAGCTTAATTTAAAACAGAATTTGTTTTTATAATTTATTGTTAATAACTTTTAATAATTTATTGTAATTATGCAATAATTTAGTGTTTTATTTAATGCCTTAAAGTAATTGTTTTATTATAGAAAATATATTTTTATTTAATAAAATAAACACTCGATTCATAAGAATTTATAAAAATTGTTTTAATTAATCAATTGATGAACAAAAAA